TAACTTGTAAATTGCTGTCATCCAACATCTTTGTGTTTCTTCAAATCAAGAGCTACATTCAAGATTTAACCTTTAATTCCCCCTCTCTCAAAGCACTTACTTGAACATTTTTGTCTACAAGACTCTACTGAGAAAGGAGCAATCCCCTTGTCATATATCAGTCAATAGGAATGTGATCTACAGAAATATTTAGATCCAGTTGACTGGACCCATATTTGTGACACTACAGCCCACTGTTCTATTAACGCAGCAGAAGTAGAAGCCAGTGATAAATTACTGCTAAGAAGGTCCCCAGAAGAATAGCCAAATTTCTCCCATCTGCCTTCGTAGATGCCTTGTTACAAGCACACTCCTACATATCTGGTGAAACTGCCCAAAAATCAAAAATTTTTGGATCACATCTATCAACTCATCTATACAGTTTTAGGCAGAAGCATACATAAGTATCCCTGGCCAGCTTTCCCAAATCTAAAACTGAAAGGCTTTAGTGCTGTTCAGTTCAAACTTATAATCTTTATGTTTGCAGAAGCTAAGCAGACCCTATCAAAAGCATGAAAATTGAGCACATCAACTGTTTTACAAGTCAAGAGGAAAATATTGTGGCATTTAACTAATGAAAAGCTATCAGCTCTACTCCATGATGCATACATTTCAAAAGGATGCTGGTGTCTGTTTAGTTGCTTATGTGATGAAAACAGGTTGGTTTGGGTTCCCTATTTCTTGGGTTTGTAAACCAAACCTGGTGTTTCCAGCCTTGTTGAGGTATTGGTGTTCTACACTAACCTAAAAATTTTCACACTACCATGCATGGTCTACTTATTCAGGGCACACGTAGTGGCTCTTGGACTAAACTAGACCATTTATCTTATCTACATCATGTCCTTATATCTCGGTTGTGATTGAAAATTCACTGTTGTATGTGACACTAGTATTGTGTTTGAATCTACATCTTTTAACAAAAAGACTTGGAAAAAAAGCGACATATTTGTGGTTCTCCAGCATCAATATATGGCAAATCCTATTAGATGTATAGGCTGGCAGTTAAAGCTGCCAAGCTATAATCACCTTGGTTTTGAAAAATCATTTTGGCCTGAACGAGTTACTTCTATAACTGGGGCTGTTGAGTCCACTGCCAGGGAGAATAATGGCCTGGAACAATATAGATTTAAAAGAGAAATTTCAGAAAGTCAATATTTGGCTGACACTAGAACAAAGAGCAAAAAAACATGACAAATTCATTGTTTGACTTAAAAGCTGTTTCATCGATCACCAACTAAATAGTGTGTTTGTGAGACGGCTCTGGGTGGGCAGATTCTGGCGGAATCATTCCTTACCACTTTATTTGCCTTAGAATGTGAAAAGTGAATTAGCTTCTCAACCTCTGGCAAGTGATTGTTAATGAACTGTGCGCACAAATCACCTCCCATAAATAATAAGAATAACATGAAGACACAGGGAGCTGTGGAGTGTAATGACTTTTACTGGTAATCTAGTGAAGATTCTCATCCCTCATAATGTAATAGATATGCCATTTTCCTGAAAGTAGACATCAGTGTGCAGTGTGGTTTAATGAATTACCATTATGATTTATGCTTAATGCCTAGAACTAGTCAATTGCTTGGCTTGTGCAATTACAGAGCATTTTTTAAAACCTGTATAGCGGTTTTAAGGGGTCTCTTAAAGAGGGCCTGTTACTACATGTTTTTCAATAATTTGCAGATGTATTAAATAAGCAGATTCTTAGCACATTGACAGATGACCTTTCTGGCTTTGAAAATATTTGGCAACCCTGGTTTAGATATAAGACCCCCCACCCCCACCCTGTGGTCTCCCCCCTCTCCATAACTTAAAATCTGGAACCACTGACAATTGTCTTAAAATATTGTAATAATGGTATAGTAGCCAAACCTTCACACTACCAACATTACCATTACAATATCTAACAAAATCTACATTTTCCCATGAGACTTTAGAGGCAGTAGCAAAAACATATAGAGTGATATAACAAAACTTTATTTACAGTATAAATTAAAAAACATAAAATAATTTTGGCTGGTATATCTAATGTATCTGTACAGTACAATAAATCAAAAGAATACCCTAAAATCCCTGTTATGGGCTATTATATGGTCATATGGTGCTTATGTACTTTGCACTGATCCCTGATCCGAAATACTCCCAACACGTTTTGAGGTATTTCCTTTCTCCTCTTCTTCAGAGGTGTAAAAGCTATAATGGGTATACAATCTGTAACAAACAAGGTCTTCCAAACAAAGATAGCATTCAAAACAATCCGTGATATGAAGGGCATCTCACCATTCCCCACTTTCCACCAACTAGAGTTGGACCCACCCCAGGAAAGACATTTAACCACAAAGGGCAATGGAGCAGCAGCAGCCCAAACTGGTGGTCCTCCTGCAGTGTTTTATCCGGGCCAGATTTCCAAGTAGGCACTGTGGACATGTGCTTACAGATGCCCGTCTGCAGGGCCGCCTTCAAGACAGGACAGCCCATGATACACATGTATAGGGCCCGGGCTGGGTGAGCCGAGAGGACCGGTTGCAGGGTTACCAAAAGTCCGTGCAGGGGGGCGGCCAGAGCATGTAGCCAGTGTTGTCTTGGCACTGATTGGTGCCTTTTACAAATTAATTAAGGAGGACTGGAGGGGGCGCGGCCAAGCGCCGCATGAGAGGATCTACTTTACCAGAGGTCCCATCCCGTAGCTGATCCTCTCCCTGGCCACAATACCGCCTGGATCTGCTGCTCCATCCTCTGCCAGTAGTTGCTCACAGTCCCGCTGTGTCCTCCGTTGCAGTCTTCTCCTGCCAGTCTGACAGGATGATACTAAAGTAAAAAGACATGGTGCCAGCCAGCACTGCTACATAGGACACAAACACCGATCATCCCTTGTGCCATGTCCACAGTCTCTAACCATCTCTTGTATCATGAACAAAGTCTCTTACCATCTTTTGTACCATGTCTGCAGTCTTTGACCATCTTTTGTGCCATGTCTGCAGTTTCTGACCATTCCCTGTGCCATGTACACAGTCTCTGAACATCTCTTTTATCATGCCCGCAGACTCTAACCATCTCTTGCATCATGCCCACTCTCTCTGGCTATCTCTTGTATCATGTCCGCAGTCAAGGAGAACTCTGAGGACTCTGATGTAAGGGGAACTCTGAGTTCCCCTTTACATCACAGTACGCAGTGTTCCCCTTTACATCACAATACACAGTGTTCTCCTTTACACATATCAAAATATTTTATCAAGAAAAAAAAAGTCAGTCTCTTACTTGTTTTTTTCTTGGGGAGTGGGGTCACTTCAGAATTCTTTACCTATAGGCTCCTGAGTTGTAAATCCAGCCCTGAGGATACTGCATTTCTGGCAAGATCAATAGATATTTTCTGTACTTGTGGAAAATGTTCTTAGATTAAAAAAAGAAAACTAATGGAACTGTCACTTTTAAGGATGGGTTAGCTGCAGTATATTGTTTCTTTCTTCTTGGTTGTAGTTATCCTTTAACATATTCATATCTTGTTTAATGTTGGGTTTAACTTGAAGGCCCTCTGTTTCCTCTTGTATCAAATTGTATTGTAATGTACCTGCATTTTGTAAAGCGCTGAGCAAACTGTTGGCGCAATATAAATCCTGCATAAAATTTAAATAATTAAGTTGTCAAACAATATTCATATTGACTTCTGTAATGTCTTTTGTTTGCAGAATTGGAATATAAAATAAAATTTTTATAACAATAAAGACACAAAAACACATTTAATGATATACCGTAAATGATTTTAACAAACCTGGAAACAACCATAAACCTTGACTTTAAAACGTGCTTTTTTGGAGCATTTTCTGTAGAAATTGCGTGGATTAATTTCTCCCAAATGACATTTCTTCTTCATCCAGTAGAATGCATTGAAATGGAACAAGTATCCTATGTATTTTTTCATAATAATTGCATGCATGATAAGTAGTGTGTAAGTGTAACTTTTCAAGTATTTTGAGAGATCACAGGCTTCCCCCTGACAATGCCTTCAACTGCTTTTCTCTCCAGAAGGTAGAAGACACTATTTTCTGGGCTCAGCGATGACACAATCATATGCTGTAATTCCTGGTGCCTGCGCAGTTCTTGGCTTCATTCACAAATGTTCAGGCATCATATAGGGATAAACAGGTCAGCCCCTTGCTCCAGCCTTTCACTTTGTGACTTGCTATATAACGATGTTGCAGTCTGTTTATAATAAGAGAGACTATGGAAATACTACCTCCTGCCTGCAACAGACTGATGACATCATCTCATCCTAGGCATTGCCTCGGCTCATGTTTTTTTTTTTTTAAATACAGGGTACAACTTTTTGAAAAGTATATGGCCACTAAATGGAGCCTATGAACAGAGGAAATAAATACTTATTTACTATGATTATTGGCTCAGTGGCCAGTGGCCATATTGCAGTATTTTCCTGATTCACGCTATTTTTATAAATGAAGAACATTTGACCTGGAAAATAGCCTAGTAACATTTCATTTTGCCAGCAATCGCACAGAATAATTGTACATGCTGTTTTGCAGGAGCTCTGTCATTTTTTTTATAACTGCACCCAAGACTCAAGAAAGAATATGCACACTTTTTGTTATTTATATCAGCTTTAAAGTGTAAGTTCATCTTTTCAGAACAAATGTAACGGTAAGCTAACACCCTACACCCTCCCCACCCCCCCAGTCCTTGCTGTACTTACCTTGGTGGGTGATGAGCTGCCAATGCCCAGGCATCTGATGTAGTGAAATCCCCGCTCTTCTTCCCCTTCTTTCTGTACAGCTTGCGGAACAGATCAGAGCGATTCCAACTGGTCAAAGCCATGCCAGCACTGACCAATCAGATTTTTTCTGATCCATCTCAGAAGCCCAACAGTAATAAGGGGAAGAAGAGCAGAGATTTCAAATCCCCAGACCCCTACACTGCATAGGCCCTGATAGCTCATCACCCACGGAGGTAAGCAGGGGCGGACTGACAACTCATGGGCCCCCGGGCAATAGGGGATCATGGGGCCCCTGTGTCCTCGCCCACACTCAAACCACACCCAAAAAAGCCTATGAAAGGTACCAGGGGCATCTCATGGGGCCCCTTACTGAACCCGGGCCCTCGGACAGTGCCCAAGTTTCCCAATGGTCAGTCCGCCCCTGGTGGTAAGTAAAGCGGGGACCGAGGGGTAGTGGACAGGGTGTACGGTGTTTTTCATTGATCTAACCCTTTAAATCAAATCTGATCCACAGGACCATAACAAACTTGTGGCTTATCATTTCTTTTATGTACAGCACAGGTGTCAAACTGGTGGCCCTCCAGCTGTTGCTAAACTACAAGTCCCATGAGGCATTGCAAGATTGACAGTTACAAGCATGACTCCGAAAGGCAGAGGCATGATGGGTCTTGTAGTTTAGCAACAGCTGGAGGGACGCCAGTTTGACACCCCTGATGTACAGTATTTCAGCAGGTCAAACCACTAAAAAATAACATTACATAGCTTAATTGTTTGTAATATTTATAATGTTGTAGAATAAATAAAGTGAAAGAAAATAGCTCCTGCTTTCTCACATGACAAGAACGGTATATAGATGGCATAAACCAGTCAATGCGGTTATAAAGCTGTATTGTTGACTTACAGCACCAGACAGTATTTGCATGTATTCCCTCTACTTAAAAAGAAGAGAAGGAGATTTAGTTTGTTCAAGTGTCCTTATTTCAGTGTTGGCTGTAGCTCTTGTTAACCAAAGATGGAATCAAATGGCCCAATTTGTTTTTGTTATTACTTTGGTTTTATTTTTGAAGCTGGGCTCATCCATGTGCATCATTGTATTTTAAACGCGATTAGCCTCCTAATCTTAAATCCTTTTATTAAAGTCAAAGAAAGCAAGTTTAGGAACAAAAAGAAGGCCAAAGAAAAATATAGAAGGAAGGGGAAAAAAAAAGGATCAACCTATTGATGTAGAAACTACAGATAAAACTTGAAGACAGCTCTGAAAAAATATTTCATCCTACAGTAAACCCCACATTAAAGTGGTTCTAAAGGCAGAAGGTTTTTTTCTACCTTAATGCATTCTCTGCATCAGCGTAAAAAAATAACCTTCTGCATGCAGTTACCCCCCTATACTTATGTTATGTGAGTCTAAACTCAATCCAGTAATGTGCATGAGAGGAGCAGCTCTCTTGGCTCTCTCCCTCCTCATTGGCTCAAGGATAGCAGCGGGAGCCATTGCTTCTGTCAAAAACAACCAGTGAGGAGGGAGCAGGGGTGGGGCAGAGCCCCGCTGTAATGGACCACCTGACAGCACCTCTATCAGTCCCCTGATAGAGCCTCCCCAGAGTGCGGAGTCTAATTACCGGAGCACTTGTTCACCAGGGCCCCTGATGGTGGGGATGGACTTGGAGCGCTCCGGGACCAGGTCGCAGCTACCGGGTATCTCTACCAGAGGTAGAGGAGTCTGCCAGAGGCTCCTGTGGGTTAAGAGTCTGATGTGAGGGAGCCCGGGGATCCCTGGGGGATGGATGAGCAAGATCAAACAGGCCGTGTCGGTAACTAGCGGGTCGGTGCAGTACAAGACGATAGGCAAAGGATAGTCGGGTCACATGCAGGGTCAATACCAGAAGATCAGATCTATAAGGGAGCATCCAGGAGCAGAGTCAGGCAAGCCAAGGGGTCAGGACAGGAGAAGGCAACAAGGTCAGACAATCCAGATCAGAGTACTCACAACACAGGCAACAGGATACGCAAAGACCATTCGGCAACAAGTGTCTGTTCAGGGCTGGTTTAAGTAGCCTGCCCTGCACCTGACAGGGGCAGCCTAGGTCCTAGTGCCTGCCCAGTACTGTCATAGACGACGGGTGCGCCTGGGTCCTAGTGCCCTGCTGCCTGCATGTCTTGACAGACACCTACGCATGTGTAGACCCATGTGTCGCGATGGTCCCTGACACCCGCTCTGTATGTCAATGGACACACAGAGCCAGCTCGGGAGCAAGGACGCAAGCGGCTTACTATGGGGGCTTTCAGAAGAGGGGAGGAGCCAGGATTTCCGGCGGCAGACCCAAGAAGAGGGGGACCAGGGCTGCTCTGTGCAAAACCATTACACAAAGAGCACTCTCCTACTTTAGCTAGGAGGAGCTAGACCCTAAAGTTTAGTTAAGAGCTGATTAGCAGCTCAAGTTAGATAACCAGAGGGGTCAAGTTCTGGTCAGGGCTGAGAGACTCTGCAGGCTAGCCCCTCTGGAACTTCCCCCTCCTTTGAGGAGGGCCTTGGAGGCAGTGGGTGGATCTGAGGAGTGATTGGCTGCACTTTTGAAGGACCTTGACCAATTCCCAACAAGAAGCTTGGCAAGGGGCTGGACTCCAGTGTAAGAGCATGCTTAGTAGGAGGAGTGTGGTGGTGGGAGAGGAGTGAAAGGCAAGAAGATGTGAGGCTAAAGGAGGAAGGCTGCCAGGAGGCCTAGTGGGATGGGGCCTGTCCGCGAGCCTGGAGCTGGAAAGGAGGAAAACTCAGGACTCACTGGCCCCCTGAGAGAGGACCACCTGTATGGCAGGGAAGGAGCAGCCCAGCTGATAGGCCTGGTAGCAGCAGTCATTCCACAAGCGGTACAGGAGAGGATCTGAGTAAGTACAACTGCACCCTCTGGGCAGAGAGGGAAAGGGGCACTCTGGTGGGAAACCAGATTAGCCCTCTACTCGTGACTGTTACCCATTTAAAGGAACATGAGCCAGATCCCCTGCTCAGGAAGAAAGTTTCCAGATTGCTGGGTGAAGAGGAGTTCATCTAGGGTCTGGGAAAGTACAACTGGAGCTGCTGCCTAGCACTCCAACAGAAAAAATGAGGAAGGGTTGTAACAGCGCAAACACTGCAAAGTCCTGGGAAATGGTAGTATGGGGTGATCGTGGTATTAGTGGCTACTGTATGAAGAGCGTAGGATTCCATGTGGCACTGAGGGCAAGGCTTCCAAATAGGCTGTAGAAAAGGAGAGAAGCGCCTCTAAGTGCAATAAGTTTTTTTATTCAAGTCTAAATGTAGAAACACTCACATGTGTGAAGTAATCATAAGCTTAAAAACCGTGGTTAACAATAGTTAACGGTGGGGTGGTAACCTGGGTGAAGAGCCATCATCTTACTGTGATGTGGGGAGGTGAGCTCTCGACTGGAACAGCGTGGTGGCTGGAGGGGAACAGCGGTGAGGCCGGCCGGCGTGCACATCCTCCCTCAGAGCCGGATGGAACGCACGCTGGAACGTAGCGGCGGCGTGGCCGTGATGACGTCAGATCCCAGGGTGCACTGCGACGCGTTTCGGAGCATGCACTGGCCGTGGAAGGCGGAAGTGCGCTCCTTTTTCAAGCAGCCCTGCATAAAGCATACACTGAGCATACACGAGTGCCCCCAGCGCAAGCAGCTTGCTCTGGGGTCACTCAGCAAAGAGAAGGGTCAGGATCGTTGGCGAGAAACCCGAGAAGAGGAGGATCGGAGCTGCTCTGTGCAAAACCTTCACACAGAGCAGGTCAGTAAACATCTTTTTTTTTCTCTTTTTTTAATCTAAACCTTTAATATCACTTTAAGGATACAAACAACCATAAAACATGAACGAATGTAACCCTTTCACACTTTATCCATAACTAAAAAAAAATGTTTGTAGTTTAAGAGACATTTATTTATACTAAACTTTTAGGAAGAAAGATTGCTTGAGTGCTTTAGTTTACATCCTCTTGGAGAGTATTTAGGGTATTTATGATTGTCTTCCAAATGCAGTGGAGGGCTGTGACAAAACATAGAAAAAAAGACCATCATAGGGGGCTCCTATGTTTTATGTGTTTAGTATTGATGAGGCAAACTTACCTGGACCTGGTTCAGGGTGGGTTTAGTGAGCTGTATGGGCTAATAGACAAGGGTTTCTCAAACACTATGGTGACACTATTGCTAGGGTGACAGTATGTTAAAAAAAAAAAAAAACATAAATAATAATATAAAAAAATAAAAATGTAAAACAAATTTTAGATCAATTATAATTTTTGGTTATAAACTAATTTGGGTTATTTTTGTTTTTACTAAAAAGATAGCTGAATACATTTTGGCCACAATTTATGATGAAAGATTATTTATTTGCAAAATTTTATGAGAAAAACACTTTTTTTTCAAAATGTTTGGACTTTTTCATTTATATAGCAAAAAAATAAAAATCCCAATGGTGAATAAATACCACCAAAATAAAGTTTTATCTGTCTAAAAAAATGCTAACAAATTCATATGGGTACAGTGTTGCATGACCACGCAATTGTCATTCAAAGTGTGATAGCGCTGAAAGCTGAAAATTGGCCTGGACAGGAAGGAGGTGAAAGTGTCAGGACTTGAAGTGGTTAAACAACTTGCCTGGAGGATACCCTTAGCCTGCCCAAAAAGAGGAACACCTGTATGATGTATTAAACCTACTACAACAAAAGCAACATTTACAAAGAAAAAAAAGGCTGTTTAAAATATCAGACATCTCCAAGCTGCCTCGTTCTGTTTTTATACAAATGGCTGGGAATTCCCTTACCAGACCCCTATCTTAGATGAGGTTCTGATATACCTGTACAGGGGTTAGACAAAAAAATGGAAAAACTACATGATTTGCAGGCGTGAACATCATGACATGAAAGCGGATGTGATGTAACATTCTTTTGCTTCCGCTTGTGATAAGACACCTAGCTAAAAGGTAGAAAGCCTCACATTTATCATTTACTGCTTGCATTGCTAGTAATCGGAGTCATGTCTGAGCTTCAAAGAGGGAAAATTGTTGGTGCTGAGCTTCAAAGAGGGAAAATTGTTGGTGCCGGCCAGGGGCAGACTGACAACTCATGGGGCCCCCGGGCAATAGGGGATCATGGGGCCCCTGTGTCCTTGCCCAAACTCAAAAAACCTATGAAAAAGGTACCAGGGGCATCTCATGGGGCCCCCTACTGACCCCGGGCCCTCGGGCAGTGCCCAAGTTTCCAAATGGTCAGTCCGCCACCTGGTGCCAGCTTAGCTGCTGCCTCTGTGACTGAAGTTGCCAATTTATTTGCCGTTGCACAAGATACAGGTTATTATTATTATTATTATCATACAGGATTTATATAGTGCCAACAGTTTGCTCAGCGCATTACAATATAACGGGAGACAATACAGCAACAATACAGTTCAATACAAGAGGAATAGGAGGGCCCTGCTCCTTGGAGCTTACAATCTAGGAGGGAGGGGCTAGTGGTACAAAAGGTAATAACTGTGGGGGATGGACTGGTAGGAGGAGTAGAAGATTCCATTATTAGCTGAGGGCAGAATAGGCTTCCCTGAAGAGATAGGTTTTCAGAGATCACCTAAAAGTGAGCAGAGTAGGTGATAGTCTGATAAATTGGGGTAGAGAGTTCCAGAGGATGGGGGAAGCTCTGGAGAAGTCGTGGATGATGATGAGGTTATGATGGCACATACAGTTTCTGAGAAAATGTCGTCAGATAAGAATAAGTGTGGTCCACAGGGTCAACTGACAGAAAGAGACTAAAGGACATTGCGCAGGATCGCGACCCAGAAAAAGAAAACAACTGCTGCAAAAGTGACTGCAGAGCTCAATCTCAGTCTTCACAGGACTGAGATTATTCAGAACTCAATGTCAATTGCCCTCACAAAGCAAAGTCCAAGGAAAAGTCTCTTGTGAAATGGCCAGATGGAGAGATAGATCCTGCAGCTCCTACATTGGATCTGGGACTGGTCCAGTTAGTAAACATGTAAAAAAAAAAACACAGCACAAGTATCAATAAAAAGGTATCACATTTATTGAAGAAAATGTAGTGCACTTACATATAGGTCACCTGTGTATAACTCATAATGTAGAAGAGAATCATGTAACAGTGGGGGGAGCAGCAACCCTTTGTCAAGCTAGAAACACTTTTCAGGGGTCCTGCTCCCTTCCCTTTGTCATGGCTGTCACAGTGCATTGTGCTGTCATTGGCCAAAGCATTGCACCTGACCTGAGCTGCATTGCTTTGGCCAATCATGGCTCTCACAATGGACTGTAAGAACGAACACAAGAATGGCCAATGTTCGGGTCAAACTTATGTTTGAGGCAAACATCAAGCCCAACACTAGTCCTGACAGCCTTTCTGGCAATGGTTACATGGTTGCTTTTTGCATCTTCAGCTATACACAAGCAACCATTATGTAAGTGAGCTACGTTTTCTTCATTAAATGTGATTCCATTTTACTGATACCTGCGCCCTTGCTTCTGTGTTTATTTTTTTAACCTTTAAAATATATGATTAAATACAGAAGAATGACATGCTATGAGTGTCTTTGTTTTCTTGAATTGCTGTATTTGGATACTTTCTTCCAGGAGCACCAAGACCATCTGCTCTGATTTTACAGAGGTCAAATGTTTGGGATCACTTAAATATGCACTAGTCTGACCAACATGGAAGAAAAATATATTTGAAATATATATTAAAAAATATTCTTCCCAAATATATTGACATATATTTGAAATGCTACAATTTTGGTCATATTCAATTTATTTAAAAATATATTTATGTATATATTTATGTTGAAATGCATTTTTATTACAAAATGTATGAAAAATATTTTGAAAAATACATTTTAAATATACTGTATGTCTTTAAAAATACAAATCTACATTTTTGGAATGGATTTATAAATACATGTAAAAATTTATGTTAAAATGACTTTTTTATATGTTAAAAAAAATCTGAAGAATATAAAAAAAAAATTCTGGCTGTAGTTGGCAGTGCTGATTAGTGTTTTCTAATGGCAAGGAAGTCTCCCCACTATCAGAATACAATAGTGAAGCTGGGGATCCCCCCATCCAAATTGAGTATCTGACTGGGGGAACCGAGTCGTTTTCTTTTGTTCTACCCACTTGTTGAACAAAAAAAATTACTCATATACGGCCAGCCTAATGGAGATTTCCACATACCTATTTTATATATATACCACTGTGGGAGGTTCAGCTCAGCCAACACCCATTTAGTTTGGCCATTCACAGAACCTCTGAACAAACAGAAGCCATAGCACATTCCTAGTGTTTAACAGAGCCCAAGCAGCCACCCATCTTGTAGGTTTTAGACCTGTTTGGGTTTTCTCTATACCAGAGAGTCAACACAGGGCTACTGCTAGATAGTGACAGTTTTTGATTAAAGTGACTAAAAGAAAAATGAAAAAAATGTAAAGTGTCTCTAAACCCACATCATAAAAAAACTATCAATAAATGTTGTGCTACATGCTGTTCATACTCTTTCAGTCATTATGAAATTTGTTTTCTGGATTCTGCAAAAAAAAAAAACCTGGTTGTTCCTGCTGTTCTCTATCCCTTCATTCCAAGTCCCCAATGCAACTAGGGATTTTGCATAGCAATGTTGGCAGCTCTGCACATGCTCAGTTTTCAGTGAGTTTCTATGCTGAGCATTTCCTCCCCATGTGATGATAGAGTCACACATGAGGGCATATTCACAGTAGTAAATGACAGCCCACTCCCTCCCTCCTCCTCCTTGTCCAATAACCAGCTAAACACATTGGAGGCAGGATATTACCTGTAGATTTATAGAGGCTTCGCCTTCCCCTTATTCTAAGACACAGGCTGGAGGGGCATGACACAGCCTGTGACTGGCAGAAACCTGCCAACACCATGTTAAAAAAAATAAAGATTTCAAATATATATTTGTATGATAATTTAAAACAGTTTATTGATATTAATTATGTATTTTTCATCTGTAACCCAAAGGCTGTTTTTTTTTTTATTCTGAACATGTGACCAACAACAGAAGACTAGAAGCTCCTCTTGATTATGTTTCCCTGCAGACAGGCTGGGAGAGAGCTGGGTCATGTGACAGATGTATATCAATAAGAAAAAGGCACTTAGACATTTTTTTTTTATTAAAATGATCACAGTGCCATCATCCACATACAGAAATAGAAGCGACAATGTCAATTAAACAGTGTGTGTTTAGTATTGCTTTAAGTAAAGTAAAACTGAGATATTGATTATGAATTGTTTGTATTATTTTCAGCCAGCAGGGGAGCTCTAGGATCATTTTTATGAATTCATCGCTATTCTTGCCTTTGTTGAAAACAGCCTGATTGCAGAACACGGTGGGGTTGATTTACTAAAACTGGAGAGTGCAAAATCTGGTGCAGCTGTGCATGGTAACCAATCAGCTTCTAAGTTTAGTTTGTTCAATTAAGCCTTGACAATAAAACCTAGAAGCTTATTGGTTACCATGCACATCCTCACCAGATATGCACCAGTTTTAGTAAATCTCCCACCATGTGTTTTAGCCCACAAAAAAACTGACCACAATAGTCAATTGGTTGTCTTTGCCTCCAGGTCAAGAGTTCCCAGTCCTCCGCTAGAAATCCTAATTTCTTCTTAAAAATACATTGTTTGCAAAGTAACGGAACCAATTTGCAATTTATGTTTACTTGAATATTTATTATGGCCCACTGCTTATACAAATCTGGTGCAGCTGTGCATGGTATCCAATCAGCTTCTAAGTTCAGTTTGTTCAATTTAAACTTTGACAAAAAACCAGGAAGCCGATTGGTTTCTATGCAGTGCCGCACCATATTTTGCACTCTCCAGTTTTAGTAAATCGATCCCAGTATCTCAAGCTGAAACTAAAGCTGGCTATACACTATTACTATTGGTCATACAAACACTTGTATAAAATATATATTATATATATACTGCTATATAAATTATCAGTACACTCCATGACTTAAAACATTTAGTTTGCATTTAATATTCGATTTTGGAAATATTAGAATTTCCCTAGAAAAATCCACATTCCCTGTTAGAAATGTGTTAATTCAAGAAAAAATTAACACCCTGCTCCCAATGTTCTTGTCACTGCCATCAAAAATGAACATCAATTTGACCCCATTGATGATTAGAAAATTGGACAAATGTTCTTAAAACCAAAAATTTCTAATGACATTTTTAGTAGTGTATGGCCATCTTTACACAGAACCTAATAAGTCATAGGACTGTGCCCACTGTATCTAGACTGGGCTGTACAAAGTTAAATAGGACAGAGAGAGTCTGAAATCAAATAGCTTCTGCACTGTGCTGTCTCTTTAGAGAACAATACAAAAATCTCCAGCACATTTTCCAGATAGTCAACACAAGAAGTCTATTTAACCACTAGCCTACAGGACACTTATATCCCCTTCCTGCCCAGGCCAATTTCCAGCTTTCAGCGCTGTTGCACTTTGAATGACAATTGCGCGGTCATGCAACACTGTACCCATATGAAAATTTTTATCATTTTTTTGTGACAGATAGAGCTTTATTTTGGTGGTATTTAATCACCTCTGGGTTTTTTTTATTTTTTGTTAAACAAACCAAAAACTATTGAAAATTTTGAAAAAAAAAAACGTCCGTCTATATGGCGGGCGGGAGGCGGTTAATCTGGTTTCTTGCATACTTTTGCAAATACAAATGTGTTTGCAAATGTATGCGACATAATGTACACTGAGCTTTGCAAACGCAGCTCAGTGTATTTCAAAGTATTTTTTCAAAGAGGACGGTAGTAAGCTTCTATTGCAGAAGAGACATCGAGGGAGATTCACTAAAACTTGAGCACTCAGAATCTGGAGCATGGTAGCCAATCAGCTTTTAACTTTAGGTTGTTCATTTAGGCTTTGAGAATAAATTCTGGAAGCTGGTTTCTGTGTAGAGCTGCATCAGATTTTGCACACTCCAGTTTTAGTAATTCTCCCCCATAGTCTGTCTCTTTTGCATTAAAAAAAAAAATCCTGCTTGCAACATTTTTGTTATAGACAAAGATCCACTTTACATTCTTTACGTTCTCTACCTCAAAACCTTCTAACCATGAAAAACTGGAGTGGACTAGGGAGAATTCTGTTTCTGATAGTGAAGTGTAGTGTGATTCTGCATATGAACTGTATCCTTCCTTTATCATACCTTTTAGCCATGCAGCCAAACTCTCCTAGCCACACTGCACAGAAGCTCCTACATTTGGTACTGCATCAGTGGAATGTTGACTTATGAGCCTGTGTCTGCTTGCTTCACATTGATACGGCTTCATAATCAGAATTTCATCTGCATTCCACGTACTGCGTCTAATCCGCTCAGATGTGTGGTTTCTTCAGCACTTTGCAGATCCAGAGACAGATGGG